GCTTTATGTCCTATTAATTGTTTAAGATGTATTGATAGTGTTACTTGTTTAGAGATTAAATAATCTCTAACAGTTTATTATGATTGTCCTTAAGGTTATTTTTAATAATCAGGAGAATGTGTTCGATGCATAAGTGGTTGTAAAGTATGTAATGACAAATATTATTGTAATTAATGTTATGATACTCATATTTATTATAATAAACAATGTTTTTGTTAATTGAATGGAATATCAATAGGTTATTGTTAATCTAATTGCCATCCTTTATGTTAGACTTGTATAGCTTAAGTATCTTAAGAATAAAAATATGATTAAAGAACATTTAATAGAAAGAATGTTAATTTATAATGTGCAAGTTGTGATTTAAGTTAAGGTAAAGTGATGAATATATAATCATGTGAATGTTAAGAAGGTTTTTATTTAGATAAGAATTTTTAATGTTTAAAATGTCATGATACATGCAAGAATTGTTTACTTTAAGCTAGATTTTGTATTTAATGTTAAGATATATAAAATAGAATTTTGGAATTTTAAAATTGTATATGTAAATAAGGATATTTTGAAGTAAGTGATTCTTATACTTGTATGAAATGTGCAGATAAATGTAAAACATGTGAACATTTTGAGACATATTGTACTAGTTGTTATGTATAATAAATAAGAACATTAAAAGAGAATGATTGTATTTGTTCAGTAGGACATTATTAATATTAAAATAATCTTATATGTTCAGCATGTAATGATTTATGTGAATATTGTTCAGATTATAATATTTGTACATCTTGTTATGATATATAATTTAGATCATTATAAATAGATAAATGTATATGTTAAAATGGATATTATTAAAATAATAATCAATTAATATGTTCTAAATGTTATTACACTTGTTCTGAATGTAATAGTTCAAATGAATTCAATTAATGTACTAAATGTCCAAAAAGTAGAATTAGATCAAATATCTATCTTAATGTATTTGAATGTGAATGTAAAAATGGTTATTATGATAATAATGAATTAGAATGTATAGATTGTACTACTTATTAATATCCACCAATTACACATTATTGTTATTCAAAATGTGGTGATTAAATTATTTAATGGAATGAATAATGTGATGATGGTAATCTTGAACCTAGAGATGGTTGTAATTAATGTTATTTATCTAATAATAAATGTATTACTGATATATGTTTAAAATGTCATTTAGGAGAATGTTAATAATGTATTGATGGATATTATCTTCAAAATGATTTTACTTGTTAATTATGTTCTCCACATTGTTTAACTTGTATCTCATCACCAAATTAATGTATAGATTGTAAATTTTACACTCCTTAAAAACAATGTATAATCTGTATATCTACTGCTGGTTATACAATAATAGATAATTAATGTATAAGTATATGTGGAGATGGTATAAGAACTAAAGAAGAATTATGTGATGATGGTAATCTAGATAATGGTGATGGATGTACTTCATTTTGTACAGTTGAAGATGGTTATATTTGTGATTAAATCTGTATCAAAATTGATTATATTGATATCATCTTAACAGAATCATTATTTGATAAAATTTATCAATCATCTAGAACTATTAAACTTACATTTGATTAAATAGTCAATATTACATAAGCACCTCTTAAAGATTCCATCTCTATGATTACTAAAATCCAAAATTATAAATTTATAACTAAAAATATTATAGATAAAACATAATATACATAAGAATTTAACAAAATTGATATTGAAATTACAATTGAATTAAGTGAATCTATTGAATCTCCAGATATTATTATTATCATTAATAATAATACTGAAGTAATTTCTCAAAATCACTTTTCATTTTAATCCAGAAATCAAACTATTACTCTCTTATAATATCGAGCTTTGAGTGACTCTGAAATTTCAAATACAAAAAATCTTGTTAGATTTAATTCTTATATAATTTATTTACTTATTGGTTTTGCCATATTAGCATTTCTATTAGGAGGATTAGATATATTTTGGAATCTATTAGATACTTTATAAGTGTTATCCTATTTAAAATATTTAAATGTCATCTATCCTTATAATCTTGAAACATATTTTTAACTTTTTGGATTTGCTGAATTTGATTTCTTGAAGTCCAATTTTAGTGTTGAAGATTTAATTTCATCATCAATTGAAATTGAAGATCCTGCATTAAAATTTAAAGAAGAAGGATATACATCTGTATTCTTTGTAAATGTTATTGCCATATTTATTGTTATTATGACAACTATAGCAACATATATATTATTTCATTTAATATTCTATTGTATATATTATTATGCTAAAAAAATAAGTACTCATTAACAAATTTCTAATTATTAATAATAAGATGAACCTAATGTTATAGTATTTTTATGTTTTAAATTAACAAGAACAATGCAAAAATATTTTTATAATCTTAAAATACAATATAAAACTGGAATTTTAAGAGCCTTTTTAACAATATCTTATGATTTGAATTTGGCAATATTTTTACAATTAATGAGTTATTCAAAATCATCAATCTTATTAATACTAAGTAGTCTTTTTGCATTTATCTTCTTATTTTGTGAAATGATTTTCATATATTTTGGAATAATTGTTATGAGTAACAAAAGATTTTACTTTGATTTATAAGAAGTTCAATTAAAATATGGAGCATTATATGAAGGAATTGAATTAGATAGTAATCCTTATAGTCTATATTATAATATTGTGCTTTTTACTAAGAAATTATTATTCATGTTTTTCTTAGTTTTCATATATGATTATCCATTATTTTAAATTGGATTTATTTCTTTATTAAATGCTATATTCTTTACTTATATTATATACAATAAACCATTAATTGATAAATCTGAATATTATAAATAAATAATAACAGAAATCTTATTGTGGATTACAGAATTATTGATTCTACTTATAGGTTTTGGATAATAAAGTGAATTCTTTGTTTATGAAAGTTATATAAAAATAGGATGGGTTATTGTCACTATCTTAACTCTCCTTATATTTATACAATTAATAATTGATATTAGACAACATATGATATTTTTAATAGAAAACTATGAGATTCTAAGAATTTTAGTAAATAAAATAAAATAATTACATTAAAGTATATTTTCAAAGGAAATACATATTAATAATGATGAATCATAAAGTCTAGTTGGTTCTAGTAGTAGAGGTAGATTAAAACAAAGCACAAGTAAACTCCCATCAAATTAGAGTTCATAAAAACAAGTTAGAAAATTAGTAACATTTAAAATGAATGATTCAATTTTATGATTTTATATTATATTATTCAAGTATTACCTCTTCTCTCATAATAAACTTGCAATTTATTTTTTTAAATTTTAGCAAACTTTGATTATTTTTAAACTCTTAATGCACCTGTAATTTATTCTTGTTTAGGGGGTGATAAATATGACATGATAATAAGATCTCCTTCAAGATTATCAAGCATTTTCTCTAATAATGTTCCATCAGGTTAAATTTAAAATAATTTAATTTTTCTATCTTAATATGAAACACCTAAAAGTTTTTTAGCTAAAGAAAAACTTAATTTTATAATTTAACCTTCTAAATTACCTTTTTTCTATTTCCATGTTAAATTATTATTAATACTCTCAAAACTCCAGATTGTATATTAACCATCAATTTAAAATGTAATAAAATCCATTTTATAAGTTTAAACTACTTACATAATTTTATTTTCTTATACTATTTTATGTTTAAATGACCATTTATTATATGCATATTCAATTATCTAAATTAAACGATCATCACTTCCTACCATCAATATATTTCCATTTTCACAAAAACTTAAAGCTTATATAATTCTTGTATTATTTTTAAAACTTGAATCTTAAACCCATTATCCATCTTTTTAAATATCCTATTTCCAAATTATTAATTCTTCACTACCTGATGCAAAATAATTCTGATTAGCATAACATAATTAAATACAATTAACTGCTAAAGAATGACCTTCTAAAGTTTAATATAAATCCCATATTTTAGCATTCTTTTTTTTTACCCAAATTTTAATAGTTGAATCAACACTACCTGTAAATAAAACATCTTCATCATTAAAAAATAATGTTTTTACTTCTCTATTATGACCTTTGAGTAAACAACTTTTTCTCAAGATTCCTCCATCAATTTCCCAAATTTAAGCATAACAATCAGACTCTACTTTATTACAACCTATAGCTAAAAATGATCCAGTATTATTCATTTGAATATCATAAACTTAAACTGTCTCATCAAAATCTTATTCAACTTATTTATCAAATTAATAAACTTCAATTGCTTTTGATGGTGGATTAAAGAGTATAAATGCCTCTTATTTTAAAATAGTATTAACTTCATTATTTGCCTTTATCAGAATATTCAAAGCTTCATTACAATTCTCTTCTTGTAATATTTCTTTCTCTAACATACTTTTCATTTACTTTATCTTTTATTCTTCTATATCATTATTTTTTATGTATTATAATAGTCCCATTAAATTTTAATAATTTAAATTCTTTAAATAATTCTAAATCTGATTATTCATGCTTTATTTAATTTTTAATTTTCTTTCAATATCCTTTAATTCGTTTTCTATCTTTGGTATTTATTCAGCTATTTTTCTAGCAACAATTAAATTTAAATTTGTAATTCTGAATTTATTTATAAACATATTTATCTGATTATTGAATTTATTTAAGAACTCTTCCAAAACAACTAATTTAATTTAATTTGGTCCACTATGATTACATAAATTACATATCAATTATTTATCATCCTGAAGAAATTTTGCAAGATTTAAATTTTCTCTAGGTAATTAATGTCCCTTACATTTCATTTAATCTGTTTGTAACAAATTTTGCATATTTTATTTATAAATTAAAATAATAATCTCCCAAATATATAAATTAATATAAATATTATTCTATTTTATACAATATTATGAAAACTACATCATATTTTAATAATATTAATAATCAATATCTTTCTTCTTCATTTTGATAAATTAATAATTGATTATTTGATATTATTGCAAGATAATTTCCATCCTATGAAAAAAATAATTTATCCCCTTGAAAAGGAATCCTCTATTTAGACTTTGAGATTATATTCTCTCCTATCATATGAATATATGTAGATCCCTATTAAGTTGGAGATAAAGCTAATAATTTCTTCTAAAAACAAAAACCTGCTGCATAATTGTTAATTTATTAACTCGAATATGTTTCAGAAACTTAATAATCAGATAATTCATTATCATATTGATAGTAATTAAAATATCCATTTTTTTTTACTACAATTAGATCTTTGTTATTAAAGAAATTTATTAATATAGCTTAATGTTACATTTAATGTCTCTAAATCCATTTTTGACCATAATATTCAAAAATCTTAAATGAATAATCATGATATCCTACAGCTAATTAATTATCTTCTAAATTAAAACTTAAAGATAATATCTTCTATTCTTAATTAGAAGTTTCAGTATCATTAGCCCATTATCCATTTGTTTTTTTCCAAAAACATAAATAATCACCTCCTGATGCTAAAATATTCTCAGAATGATTCAATTAAATAACATTACCAGGAGATTTTAATTCTATTATCTCTTAATTCAAACCCCACTTATTTTATTCTATTTATTTCCAGAATCTTATTTTTTTATCTTAACATGCTGTAATGAAATTATCATTTAATGAAGTAAAGCAAATAGATTTCACATCTCCTTCATGAAGATCTAAATTTTAAGTAAGAGTAAAAATGTTATTCTATAATGTATATACCTATGCATAACAATTTTTATCAGGTATTAAATTACTTGAAATTACAAAAATATTACCACTTTTATTAAATTTTATGTCATGTATCAATTATTAACCAATATTATTTGTATAAGTATTTACGTAATTAATATTAACATTATTAAATTATTAATTAATTAACATTGATTAAGATTATTCTTATGATTAATATTATTCTTACTATATATATGATTATGATGATGATTATTATTATTATTATTATTATTATTATTATTATTATAATTATTAACTTTATTAAGTTTCACCTTAATTCATAAGTTATTTTAAGTTATGAATCATTTATTCAAATTTCCTAAAATCTATTTCCTAAACTAATTGTTATAAGACTTAATTGGATTAGGAAGTATTTTCTGCATTTAATTAGATTGCAGTTTAATTCTACATGATTAAACAACTAAGATCATCACTCATTTGTTTGATTATCTCTCTAGATAATGCATTCTTCGTTTATAAGAATTTATCTAAGGAATTGTTTGGCTTAATAAGGAATTTTTATTAAATAATTAATATTTGACTTTCTAATTATTGTTCAATTGAATTTAAATGTTATTTCAATTCTTTTGTTAGATTACAGATAATTTCAAATTAATTTTTTATGTCATTTTCCTCTTTTTTAAGATTATCTAAAAATCCAAAAACTTCATTTTTATTATATATATTTTCACAATTAGTATTAAAATCACATTTTTCACATAAAAGTCTTTTTTGATTATTAATTAATGGGTGTGTTAAATTTATAAATTCAATCCTCTTTTTATGATCAATACATTAGATAGACTCAAAAATCAAACTAATTGAGCTTGACATTTTTTATTTTAAATATATTAATAATAAAAATTAAAATATTTATAAAAACAAATAATGCATAAATCATATAGATTAAATATAATTAAAAATATCATTTAAATTTTCTAAGATTTCTTTTCTTAATTCATTTGTTTCATTAGCTTCAATTAATTCTGTGTAAAATTTTTAAAAGTTCTTGTTTTTAATAATTTCTTTTAATTCATCTTTTAAATGATGCTTATTTTCATTAATCAAAATAGTTTATTATTATATACATTTAGGCCATTTAATTATTTTATCTACCTATAAATTTACTAGTTATTCTCTTAATGGTATTTATTAATCCTTTTTTAGATTTTTTGCTAATAATCTAAATAAAAATCGAATATATTATTAATTTTTATGTAATTCTTCTTAAGTTGTTTTAATGCAATTAATAGTAAATTTATAATTATAAAATTGAACAATTGTAAGTAGAGTTGGAAATGGAACTTTGTATAAATTCATCTAATTAATAAAGTATTTAAATATATTAACATATTTATAATCTTTAGGACTCCAAACAGTTTTCTTAATTTCTTATTAAAATATCTTATATTCTTCATTATCATTATCTAAATCACTTCCATCATTATAATTTTACATCATTTATATTTATTCATCATCTATTTTATTATTTTAAGAAGTTAAAGTAAAGACTTTAATTTCTGATAACAATTAAACTATAAGAATGTAATTAATTTAAGTTTTATTAAACTTTTCATTATCAGGATATTATTAACTATTTATTTCTGATTTATAAAGTAGTTTTAGTCTAGAAATTAATCCTTTAAATTGTTAATTATCATAAATAATGATTAACTTATCTCTAAATTCATTTAATTTCTTAAATAGTAATTATAATTAAGTTAGAATAACTTCATCAATAGTTATAGATTTTACAAATCTAAAAAAAGTATATATTTCATGAATGTAGTATTCTTAATACTCTTTATGTTATTATTCACTTTACATATTATCAGGAATATTTAATATATGTACAACATCTTAAAGTTCTGGTAATTTCATCAATTAGTTTAAAAAATGAGGATTAAAATGACATATGATTTATCTATATTTGATATTGAATTAATCATATTTTGATTTATATCCTAAATTTAATAATAAATCAGGTATTATTATTTCTTTTTGATTAACAAAATAGAGTAATATTTTCATCAATTCATAAATAATAAATGGTTATTTGATTTATCTATTTCTATTATTTTACAATACAATTAAGTGATTTTATATTGATTCATATAAATATTCCATTTTTAAATGAATAATTTCATTTAATCCTTTAAATTGTTTCTACTATTATTTTTGATATAAATTTCTAATCCAATAATAATCATTAATCTTCATAATTTATAAATTAATTATTTAATGCATGTTTTATGTTAATAATTCAATAGATTCAAGGATAATCTATTAATCATTAATATTTTAATTGATTTCTAATTTACTATCAAATTAAAAACTTGCAATATTTATATATTAATGATGAAATTGAGCTTCAATAAGATGTTTTTGTAATTTCTCACAATAAATTATTTCAAATTGATTCATATCATTAAATTCTACAAATTAGAAAATCTTTGGAAATGGTTTTCTCTCTAATATCAAATCAATCATTTCTTATCTTATATTTTAAATTTTCATTTATTCATTCATAATACTTAAAATATTTTGTTATTTAACATCTTCAAAACTATAATTATGCTTCTAAATCTTCTAAATCTAGTTTTTAATATTCATTAATGGATAACTACAATTCTTAAATATACTATTATCTATTTTATGACACATTTTATAAACTGATTGAAATTTATGAGTCTGTAATATTTCATTAATCAAAAGTTGACGATTTGGTGACAAATTACTCTATTTTTCTTCAATATCCATATAATAATGTAGTACTAAATATATTAATCAGTTCCTGTATATATTTGTAAAATTAAATAATTGCAATATTAAAATAATCAATTTCTTTTTTAAGGCTTACGAGACTAAATAGGTTCTACTTCATCTTCAGTCTCAATATTTTCAACTAATTCTTTAATTTATTTTTCAATTTCAGCACATTACTTTTCAAATGATTTTTGGTTAATTCTTAAATAATCAAGAATTTCTTCAGTTAAATTTGCAGAGCTTACTTGTCCTACTTGTTTCTCTACTCTAATACATTCAGGTGGATAAATTCTTGGTTCTTCTTATTAATCATATTCAAATTATACATAACTCAAAAATTACATCTAAATTTTACTTATTTTTTTATTCCTTTTGGATTTGATTATTATTTTCCTGAACTAGCTAATGAACTTCTGATTTCAGATAATAATTAAAGAGAATTTTATAAAACAGGACTTTTGTAAGACATTATGTTATTTTGAAATAAATTAATAATAATTATTTGATTTGAATTCAAAAATGAACTCAAAAATTCTATAAATTTGTAGATGAATTCTAAAACTCTAATAATCTCTAAGAATAAAACTAAAGAGATTTTTTAAGCATAATCTTTCCCATTTTTCAAAAACCTATTAAATATTTTCAGATATATTTTAAAAATTAAAAATAATACCAATAGTAAAATATATATATTCTTAAACAATGATATTTAATTATTTTCTGATATTTATAGATGTTTAATCTATTTTACAAACACATTATTTTTATTTATTAAAATTAATAACATTTTTATGATAATTAAATATAAAATAACTTTATTAATAACAATTTTAGATCTTCTTATTTTGAATATATATGATTTTTTCTATTTTTTAAATAATAATTATATTTAATGATGAAATAATGATCTATTCTCTAATAATAATTAATAAATAAAATATTCTATACTGATTTATCATATATTTTCTATAATCTTTGAAATGTTGTTTATTATTAATTAGAATAGTTATTTGAAATTAAGATAAAAGATAATTTATAATGGAATCAAATTTATAAAATTATCATTTATTCAATCTTATAGAAATTGCTAAAAATAAATCTAAAATCTTTTTCTATATGTATCACTATCTACACAACTAATCTATTAATCTGGTTTATGCATTCCAAACCAGGTTTTAAATTTATTTTCTAACTTTTTGGTACTATTATATTCTTAATAATAATCAATAATCCCAATTATTGTTCCAACATTATTACTTAATTTTATTAGTCTATTTCCTTATTGGCATTAATTGATGTATCCAGTAATAATCATAAGAGAATAATCCATTGTATTAGCTTCTGCAAGAATATCACTTTCTTATTTTATTTAATTCATTAAATCTAATTTCTTTTCATTTGAGAATTCTTAAAAGAATCTTATTTTTTTAAAATCTTCATCTTTCCCTTTCAATAAAGGTATTGTTTGAGCTTTAGTTTACAATAATTATTATTGTTACTGAAACTGTTCATCAAAATTTTTAGTAATTCTACTACTTTATGCTCCCTTTAAGTCGTATATGCTGATTATTTAACTGTTTTACAATTTATGTTCATAAAATAAATTTTCCATCAAGACGAAATATGATTTATTTTCTCTATCTTCTAATTTATATATTCCAAAAGTTCTTGCTAACAAACAATTCTTATTAGCTATTATTTTGAAATAAAATTAGTGAAATGTATTTTTAAAATACCTATATTGAGTTCCAGACACAACTTTTAAAATATACTTATGATTTAAAGTAAATGCAAACTCTGATTACAAGTTCCTGCCCATATTAAATAATTAAGGGGTCTCAAAATCTAATTGTAATAATGAATCAATAATATCTTCTCTATCAATCAATTAACGAAATTGAGCATGAAATAATGAAACAAGTAATTAAGTATTGCTTTATATTGTAACATGTTATTCTTGAATTTGCTATTCAACACTATATAACTACTAAAGAAGACTAGTAATTTTCTCCCAAGAAATTTTCTTCACTTTATCCATTTATATAAATTATTATGAAAGAACTTAAATGTTAAAATATATATAAGAGATATAAAATCGGTAATCAACCAATTTTATTACAACTAATTATTTCTGTAAGATATATGTTATACTTATTATTCGATATTTTATATCTAATAATAAATAAATACATAAACTAAACTTCCAATATAATAAAATCTGCAATCTTTATTATGATTTGCAATAAATCAAATTTTAGAATTAGTATATAAAATTAGGAACTTTTATCATTTCAATAGAAAATACCAAATTAAGACACTCTAAATTAATCAAATATTTTAAATTAGTTATAATTTAAGTACGAATTGACTTTGCTATTTTCTTAATAGTCATAGAATTTATTATAAAGTCAATTTTCATTGATTAAATCAGAAATATTAAAAATATCTCTATAAACTTGTAACTTGGAATCTATATTAATTTTAGTTTGTATATTATTTATGTTATTAAGTTTATAAAGAATATTAGTTCTATAATATAATCTATATTTATATTACAACTCAAATAAATTTTAATTGTAATTCAATAATCAACTATTGTATAATGTAAGTTTAGATTAGAATAATTAAAAAAAAAAAGTTTTTAGTTGATATATAAATTATATTTTTGTTAGATATTTAATTTAATATAATTCTTATTAGTGCGAATCAAAATTGCATTTCTTCACTATATAAATTATTTTATTTTGATTGATAATTAATAATTAAAATTATTTATAAACTAAATTATGGTACTTTTATGATGAACCTTCATGCACCCCTCTTATTAAGATGATGATATCATTAAATATACCCATTTCTGATTAACCATTATATATAATTTATAAAATTGATAAATATTTAGAATACTTATCAATTGGCTAGAGTTTTAGGTAATTTATTCCAAAAATGCTAGTATTTTAGTTATTGGTATTTTGCCAATAAATCATGATTATAGATTTTACTACTTTTTATATAAGAATCACTTTCTGTAACCATGGTCTCAATTGTCTTAGGCATATATGAATTTAATTATTCATTCTGAGCCTCATATTTTTTCTAAAATAAAATTAATCTATTTTACATGAATATCATCAACTATTCGTTACATCTATTTGATTTGTTGATTATGTTTTACTGCCAGTCTTCCCAATCTAATTGCATAAGTCTCTCTTTATTCATCTGAAAATTTCATATTAAAAAAATTTTTTTTGAGTTTATTGTTTACATAAGGATTATCTTGTAAGATATCCTTATATTAATATTTAAAGCATTCAAGTTCTTCATTTAACTTTTTTTATTTTTGTTTCATTTTTTCTTTCATTGATTGTTTTACATAATAATCTAATTCTTTCGTTAAAGAAATTTATCTGCTTCTTTAAGGTATTTTTATAGTCTATAAATTGATTTTTGGATTATCTTAAGATAATTATCTTGGTTTCAATTATTTTTTTTGTTTTAATTCTTGTAAAATAATGGCTGATTCAGGTGTGAAGTAAATCTTGTTATCTTCCATCAAAGAATAATATGACAATATTTTTGATATAATAAATTTGTATTAACAAAATACTTATTCAATCATTTTAAGTTCTAAGTTTCGGTTTTGCTAATCTCTATATTAATGATTTTTGCTTATCAGATTTAATATATAATTAAGCCTACTTTAAAGGAGGTAATTTGTAAGGATATTGAGGACTCAAGACTTGAGAATCATATTTTCTTAATTGAAATGAAAAATCAGGAGAAAAATATGCTTTATCTTATACATTTCGAATCACATATGTATCTCTTCCTGTTCCATCACTAATATAAAACTGTCTTCTTTCAGGTTTAAAATGAGTTTTTTAAGGAGAATATGTACCATAAGCCCCTTATATTTTTTAGAATAACAATTACAGTTTTATAGTGATGGCGTTTTTTATAATTTTAGATTACCAGGATAGAAACCTCCATTATCATTAAAGATGTAAGAATCTCTTCCTGTTCCATCCTAAGAATACAATTTAGCCATAGATTGATTCATAATGAATAATTTTATTGATCTTTTATATAAATTATTAATAAATATTGATTTTCTTTATATTTTTCATACTCTAACTTATTATGCTACTATAGTATAGGCTTGAGTTATGATTTTAACTTCATTTTCTCTTTTTGAAGATCTAAGATTATAATTAGATTAAACAATTTCTCTTTCGTTTCTATATTATTAAAGTAAATCTTAAGCTATAGGTAAATCTTTTTAAATTTAATTTCTAGACTTTGTAGAGAGAGCCTTAAAATAAAAAATAATTAAAACATTTTCTTCATTTCTTCTTTTAAGAGTTACTAAAGTTCTTGAATAATCTGCACTTAATCTTTCTCTTACTTCTGTAACTTCTTTTAGGGTTACTTAATAAGTTTAAGTAACTTTAGCTTCATATTCATCAGCACCAGCATTTTCCTAGATTCTTTAATCTCTGATATTTTCAAGTAATTAAATAATTCTAGTAACAGTTGGTACATCAAACCTAAATCATTACAAATATTACTTTGTAGTTACAGCCACTAATGCAGTTAAGGGATGATTAGGTCCTAAAGAATTTCTGAGTTCATCAACATATTATTTTGTATGTTATTATGATAGTATAGTTGTTTTATTTTACTCTGCAAATACTGCTTATTGTAATTTGGCAATCATTTCATTTAATCCATCAATCGATTTAATATTATTAGTAGTTCTTTACTATTTATAAATTAATATGATTACTTTCAGAGTTTCTATTTCACTTTTATATTAATTTCTAATTTCCTCTTCTTTAGAGTTTAATGTGCTTAATTATTTCTCTTATGATTATTATGTACCAATAAGTTTGCTAATATCTTCATTTAATTCGCCTATTTATTAGTTAAGTCTTTATAATTCTTTTGCGAGTTTCTCTGTTTATATTTCTAAGATTTCAATTTCAACATTCAATTGTCCAATTTTCTTAGGTAATAATATTATATTATATATACTTTTGCGTATTCTTAATCCTCTACACTTTAATCAACAATTAATTAGTCTCTAATACCTTTAATTTCTTTAAGTACTTCCTCAACATAAGAACTTTATAACATTTTTAGTTCAATCAGACCTGCTAATTGCTTTGAAAAATCATTTTTTAATGCCATTTTATCCATTTATGCCATAACTAAATCTACTTTCCCTTATAATTGTGTTTAGATAGTTAAAGTAATAAGGATAAATAAGAAGGTGAATTATTTCATTAAAAACGGTATAATTAAATTATTATTATTTTATAATCATTGAAATTTAATATGAAACATTCAATCTGAATCAATTTTTTAATTGCATAGTTAATTTAAATAGAATATTAGTAATCTATGATAATTACTTAAATATTAAAATGACAATAGCATTTATTAAATAAATTAAATTAAATATTCTTATTTTAAAGACATGAAATCATTTTAATTATTGATTTTAATAATAAAATACTTAAATATTTAACTTCTTTAAAATTTACTTAAATTTTTTATTTATTTATTATGATAATTCAATTAAAAATAAATATTATATAGTTTCTACATTTTATAATTGAATTTAAAAGATTGTAATTCCAAAAATATATAGAATATTAATTCATTATTCAGTATCTTCTGTTTAAGGTACTATACTAGTTTTACTGGCTCTCAATAATGGAGCATTTACAGAAGAATTTCTAGATGATAATTTGATTTCTTTTTAGAATGAAGTTTAATTCCAACTTAAAAATCCAAATTCTTTCTTAATTAATTCAACAGATTATTCCATAACGTCTTTTGGTCTTGTAGAATTATGAGTTCCATCAAAACTGAGTAATTTTTTCTTCCCTCTAAAATTTTCCATCAGTAAAGAAGCATGCTTATTCTCTATCAATTCATCTTGTTTTGCTTATAAAAAAATTATCAATAAATCATTTTGTAATGCTATATAAAATATTAGTATACTTTAGACTATTGAAAGTAAGTTAAGATCATCCAAATTAAAATTAGCTTCCTTTTAGATTTTAGATTTAATAAAACACCAACAACAATTGAAGAAACATTTAGGTATATGATATCTAGATTTAGCCAAATCTTAGCATAACATATAAAAATTTGAAAAGGGGCTGTCACAAACAATCACTTTAATATTAGGATTTTCTCTCGCCGCCAATATAGCTGTAGCTGAGCCCATTGATCTACCCCACAATCCAATTGATGTTATATTACTCATTTTTAGTCGATAACATGAATACTTTTTCTTCTCTCAAATAATTATACAGACACTAAACATCTTAAGATTCCCAATAACCCAAGGATATATATTCTCCTTATGATTATCCAGATCCTTATTTATTATAGTAATTATATACCAGATAAATCAATTCCACATACTGAAATATAGGATGGAATCACATAATCAATAATTGAATGCGATTCTATTCTACTTCCTGAATTTCCATGAAGATATATGATGCAAGGATGTGGCTTATCCATTAATTTAATTGGTTCAAATAAACTAATATATTTCTAAATATAACCTGCATTGCAATATGAGATTACGATTATTTTTTATTGTAAAGTCAAATCTTTTTACTATAATACCTTGAACCATAAAAGATTCACTTCCAAGGCCACTAAGTTAATAGGAATATCTTTGAGGCCTGATTATAGGTTTCCATAATTTTTCATTCCATTTATGCTCTTCCTATTTCATTAATTAATGATTTAACAATTAGAAGAATTATTTTCAGAAACCCCTTAATATAACTAATTGTATTGGATATTAGGCCAATACAACAACACTTATGTGATTGGTCCTAACGGGGTTGGGAAAACAACGGCAGTTCATTTTTGTTTAGATAAACTTAAAATACCATATAGAAGGATTAATATGATGTAGGTAAAAATTATTAGTATTATTTAGTGTTTGACAAAATAAAGTTTATTATAAGCAATTGTTAATGAGATTAGTGAATTATGGAACTAAGAATTAACAAAAATAAGCAAATTTAGTGAACTAATTATTAGATTAAACACAATAATATCAACATCTAATTAAAAGAATAGACGGTATAATTTATCATTCATAATTAGGGCATATATAATTATTGATGCTCCATAATATCCTTAAATTGAATTTATTTATTTGTAAAAATTATTCGCGCTTTCAGAAATTAAATCCAAAACTTGCTCAGTTAATTTTATATTTATATGTAATCAACTACCAAACATTATTGAAATGCCTTTGGGAATTACCATGATCTTTCAATCATTTGATGAAGAATTATAGATAAGAATTATATATGCTCACATTATGTACAGAGCAATTATGCTTGAGGATTATTAGGTATAAAAATAAGATAATGTTCGAGCATTTGCAGGATAGGTAGCAAAAGATGTTTTCGTTACATTTTCTATAATCACAACTAATTTAAATAATTTAATTTAAATTGCTGTAGGTTTATTTGAAAATTTTATTTATTAATGTGTAAATTTAACAAATGAGGAATAAACATAGATAAGATAGCAATATTTAATTGCAAGAAAATTATTATTTGAAAATCCTTTTTTATAAATAAATTCAAAAGAATTTAAAGATCTAATAGAAGAAGTTGAATCATAAAAAAATCCACAATAAAAATCCATCTAAGAATCTAAAAAATAATAAGCAGAAACTAAAACAGCTATTTAAACATTAGAAATTTCAAAAATAAAATTACCAAAATTGCCTTCTTTGATCCTTTTATCTTCTTATTATGCTTCTAGAAACCCTGAAAAAACAGATGGAACTATATTTAGAGATCTTAAAAAAAATAAAAGGTAATCCAAAGTTAAAGAATAATTAAAAGTTAAATAAAAAGTATCTCTTTATAGATTAATCGCCATAACATAATCCTTAATGTCAATTAATGACATAAAGGAATTTTCAATAGAGAAATAACAATTCAATTAATCAGTATAATTCTATTAATAAATATAATTATTAAGTGACCAAGGATTTATCAAAATTCACCATAAAAAAGATGATATTTTGAACAAAATAAAATTAGAATGTTAAATAACAGAAAAATAAGCATTCGATCTTGCTGCTGAACTTAACATTTAATTCAATGAATTTTTATCTGCATTTTGATTGTTTATCATGTTTATCTAATCAACAATATATATAAAAATTATTTAATTAAAATTATATACAAAAAAATGACTTTTTTATATCAGAGATTATAAATGATTCCTAAACTTTATAAGATTTTATTAACTAAATATTGGTAAATCGATTTTATTTACAATAAGTATTATTTATTTAAGAGTCTTTTAGAAAATGAAATGATTCTTATTAGGGCTAGTAGGAAATACAAAGTTAATTAAAAATAAATATCTTTCCAATATTTAGAAAAAAAAGAATATCGTTAGGTATAAGCAAGGAAATAAAAGAAACAAAGGGAATAATAATTTAATTACATTTTAAAATACAGAGATATAAAGGATGAAGAAGTATATAAAAGAAATATATAAAATAATAAGTATTTAGTTGAAAATCTAATAAGAATGAATAAATAAATTCACTCTATATTCTTTGAAATTAGAAAGGATTGATATATTATAAATTTATTTAATAAATGCATATTTCTAAAGGCAAACGAATGAGAGTGATGCTGACAATTTTGTCTGTTGTTGATTTTGGATATTGTTTTGATAATATTACATATCTTACTGTGATACTTTCTTGCATACTTGTTTTGTGTAGTATTGGTACTTATATTATACAATATTAGTCAGTGTTTTATTTGCGAATAACAAAATTTTATCACAAATTATAATCACTATGTATTACGGAAAGGAATTAATATTATATGGGCCAACACCTACGTGGCCAATATTATATCTTTACAAACTGATTGGGTCTCAAAACTACATTTTTTTATTATTATTTTCGAATCAAATAGTATTCAATTAACTTGATTCGTTATGGATTTATAGTATCAAAAGGAAGGATCATCATAGCATTTAATTAATCTTGATATTATTATTAGAAGGTTATTCCTTTTTTCTCAAATAAAAATCATCTTATTTTTGCAAAAACTTGTTGATAAAGTAGTTTAAGTAGGAATGCGTGCTTTAAATCTATGATTTGAATTAAAGAAATATTTATGAAAATACACATTCGCTACCAATAACAAATAGGCTTTAAACAGATAATACTTTAATAGGAAGTCCAAGAGGGGATAAAATTAATTTAATTTAAGAGGATAAAGACATTCATTATAAATTATTCTTGAATAATGAACCAGCTTTTTCAATAGACTCAAATCAATAACCTTTATTATAGTATTTAATTTTTAAATCAACTAAAGAATTACTATAATTTTTATCTAAAAATAATAATTATTTTATAATAGCTATTTAAAATGATCCACTTTTAAATGTCAAATTTTAATATTAAGTAAAGTATTTTTCGATAAACAATTTACAAATTCTTGCATTTTTAAAGATAGATAGTGGTTTATTTGCCAGATAAAATCATAAGTTATTAAAATACAAATAAAATCTCATTAATATTTTTAATCATAAACTAAAAACTCCCCTTAATAGTGCTATTGGACATCTTATTACAGCCTAAGAGGACGATAAGGTAATTGGAGAAATTAAAAAGATGTATTTGTAACCAGCCCTATTGAATTGTAGGTTATAATTATATTTAGTTTAAGATATTTTGGATTATCTATCAATTGAAATTGAATAATTGCCTCTGATGAACAACAAAACTAATTTAAAAACATTATTATTAGAAATTTACGATCTAATTGAATATTAATGTAAACTAAAAAATATTGATATTTTATTTACTATTAATAATGAAAACTTTAAAAAAGTAGATAATAAATAATTATTTATATATACAGATTCAAACAAATTAATGAGAGTATTGTTAAATATTTTAAATAATTCTTATAGATATACTGAGGAAGGAGGTTGTATCACCTTAGAAATTAAATTAGATTAATTGAATAAGATTACTTATTTTTCTATAACTGACAATGGATAAGGAATTGAAGAAGAATAAATTAAAAAATTAAATTGTTAATTGAAATCTTTCGACAGCATTACTTTTAACAAGTTAAATAAATAATAAGATAAGAATCCTAATATAAAACTGGGATTAAGTCTCTTTCTAACTAATAAACTTATTAAATTATTGAGTGGGGATAACAGTTGTTTATAATTAAGAATATCAAATAATCAATTATTTTTTACATTTTCAATCAATAATATTCAAGAAATCCAATCAGCAAGTTCACTTGGAAAATCTAAACATAATAGTTTTGTAAAATAAAAATCATTAAGAGGTTTAAATAACAAATTTAATAGCTAATCCAGTCCTAGAATTTCCAAATTTAAATAAAATTCATAAAGATAAATCGATATTAAGAATTATAATTCCTTAAGATTGATTTATGAGTGTGATATTCATAATGAACCCTAACCTTAGGTTCCATATAAGATTACTATGCATTAAAACAATCAAAAATTTCATCATCAAAGATAAAGAATTAAAACAACAAGAAAATCTTTAGAATCTTAATTTAGATCTAGAGCAACTAGTTTTAGAACTCATAAGATTGAACAAATAATTAGATCAGAATAAGTTTAATAACAATAACAATANTAAAGAATTACTATAATTTTTATCTAAAAATAATAATTATTTTATAATAGCTATTTAAAATGATCCACTTTTAAATGTCAAATTTTAATATTAAGTAAAGTATTTTTCGATAAACAATTTACAAATTCTTGCATTTTTAAAGATAGATAGTGGTTTATTTGCCAGATAAAATCATAAGTTATTAAAATACAAATAAAATCTCATTAATATTTTTAATCATAAACTAAAAACTCCCCTTAATAGTGCTATTGGACATCTTATTACAGCCTAAGAGGACGATAAGGTAATTGGAGAAATTAAAAAGATGTATTTGTAACCAGCCCTATTGAATTGTAGGTTATAATTATATTTAGTTTAAGATATTTTGGATTATCTATCAATTGAAATTGAATAATTGCCTCTGATGAACAACAAAACTAATTTAAAAACATTATTATTAGAAATTTACGATCTAATTGAATATTAATGTAAACTAAAAAATATTGATATTTTATTTACTATTAATAATGAAAACTTTAAAAAAGTAGATAATAAATAATTATTTATATATACAGATTCAAACAAATTAATGAGAGTATTGTTAAATATTTTAAATAATTCTTATAGATATACTGAGGAAGGAGGTTGTATCACCTTAGAAATTAAATTAGATTAATTGAATAAGATTACTTATTTTTCTATAACTGACAATGGATAAGGAATTGAAGAAGAATAAATTAAAAAATTAAATTGTTAATTGAAATCTTTCGACAGCATTACTTTTAACAAGTTAAATAAATAATAAGATAAGAATCCTAATATAAAACTGGGATTAAGTCTCTTTCTAACTAATAAACTTATTAAATTATTGAGTGGGGATAACAGTTGTTTATAATTAAGAATATCAAATAATCAATTATTTTTTACATTTTCAATCAATAATATTCAAGAAATCCAATCAGCAAGTTCACTTGGAAAATCTAAACATAATAGTTTTGTAAAATAAAAATCATTAAGAGGTTTAAATAACAAATTTAATAGCTAATCCAGTCCTAGAATTTCCAAATTTAAATAAAATTCATAAAGATAAATCGATATTAAGAATTATAATTCCTTAAGATTGATTTATGAGTGTGATATTCATAATGAACCCTAACCTTAGGTTCCATATAAGATTACTATGCATTAAAACAATCAAAAATTTCATCATCAAAGATAAAGAATTAAAACAACAAGAAAATCTTTAGAATCTTAATTTAGATCTAGAGCAACTAGTTTTAGAACTCATAAGATTGAACAAATAATTAGATCAGAATAAGTTTAATAACAATAACAATATATTTAAAATGATGAATATATATTGATAGTTGATGATGAACCTTTTAATCATGAAACTTTATGTATGATGCTAAAAAATATGGGATTTAAAAATTTCTTAAAAGCCTTTAATGGCTAGCAGTGTGTGGATGTGGTTTTATAAAATCATAATAAAATATATATGATTATGATGGATATTGATATGCCAATAATGAATGGAATTGATACAACAAAATAATTAGAAAGATTGATAAGTAATAATAAAATATGTTATATTCCAATTATTGGATGCACAGCCCATGAAGACTATGAATCTCATTTATAATGCTTTGATGCTGGTATGATACATGTTGTTGTTAAACCTGTATTTATTAAATCAATCTAAGAAGCAATTAATAAAGTCTCTGAACTTAAATCAAATGAAACTATTAAAGAAGACTCATCCTCTTATGTTATCAATAAAATACAATCTTAATCTTTGAATTTTCAATGATTATTATATTATTCTTATATTACTATAATAATGTATTAGCTTAAAATTTAATAAATTTTCAATAAACTATTGATTTATTTTCATTTACTTTTAACATGATAGATTATTACAATAAATTCGTTATTTATTATTAATTTTATATCGATGAGAATGAAATTCTGTAGGCATCAAAAGTATTTTATCAATATGAACAAGTTTGATAATAATATATTGCTCGAAGTAAATTTAAAGAAACGATCAATGAATGGATAGATAATTTAGAGGATCCCTTCATCATAGAATTTTATAGTTGAAAACTAACAACACCAGTTTAGAGTTTCTTTGATTATTTTGAGTTTATACTTTTTAGGTTAATTATAACATTTACATTAGATTAAGGTTATTCAATTATCTGATTGAAATAATTAACATTACAAAAAGAATATTACTTGAAAAGTTCTTACATTTTAGAAAGAATATCCAAATGCTTCTTATCATACTTTTCAATCTACTCAAAAATTATTGTACAACAATCTCTTTAGATTATTTAAAGAAATAATAGTTAATTTGAAAATGAACTTATAAATTATAGCCTTTATGATATAAAAAAGAAACAACATATATATATAATTTTAATTATGAATAACTACTTTGATATAATAAAACAATTATAATAGGCTATTGAATTATGCACAAGAGAAAATGTAGAATTAAGAGAATAGATAATAATGATGGAGACGCAATAAGACCCTTAAAAAAATCTAAAAATTAGTAATTTGCAAAAGATGATCATATAGTAATAACAATAAATATCTGAATTAAAATAATCAATGTAAAAACGCAATCAATTGAAGAAAGATAACTATTGTAATGAGGACGATAAATTTATAATTGAATAAATGAAAAAGAAATTTGAAGAAAAAAGCAATGAACTAAAAAGATATTAAGAACTGTATGAAAAATCTCGATAAAATTTAAAGAAAACTCAATAGCAAGTACTAGAATTAAAAGAATAAATCAATTAATAATGTTAATTAAATGCATAAGAATAATAAAAAGTAACAAAGATGGAATTATTAATAAAAAATGCCAGATAATAAGAATTTGTATCATTATAATATATATTAGAAATAGAGAGATTAAACTCATAAATATAATAATTAGAATAAGAATAAAAAAGCTTATCTAGAATAAGTCATTGAAATGATTATTATTGTATAAAATTATTCATTAAATAAACTTCGCTACAAATAACAAATAGAGAATTATAATTCGTTATTTTCATTTAATTAGTTAATTTATTTATTTTTAATAAATTAAAACATGATTACTCTAATATGGTTAGTGCATTTTGATAAAAGGTGGCTATGTTTTAATTGTCCAATAATTTAATCAATGTGGTATTCTAAAATTACACTGTAGGTTATTTGGAACTATATATTGCTTTTTATTAGCTGCAATTGATTTGTACTCGATATATTTTCATTAGTTATGCCCATATGCATTTAAGCATTTGCTAATAAATATATTTATCCTATTAATTTTAGCAGGGTTTTCTTACATAATTTATGCTAAAACTTTATTTAAATAAGTAATAAAAAACGCATTATAATTATTTTAGGAAAAAATGCAAAAATATCAAAATCGATAAGACATTGCAATTAGATTAAATCACTGGACGATTAGAAAAGTTTTACTTTCTAAGATTGGATTTGCTGTATTTGTTATAGGATTTATTTAAAATATATGGGCTTTAGAAACATTTCTACATTTGTAGGAGTGTAAAAATTGTGAGGGTATGTAACCAAATATTCTAAAATTAAATTTATTGTTAACTATCATAGCATCCATACCAATAGCATTTATGATAATCTGTTATGTTTTGATAAAATCTGTTGCTTTAATCACTAGCTCTTTATTTCCACATACATACATAAAAATAAAAAAAATATTTTGTAATTGATATTCATATTTACCTAATATTTATGAAAAAAATTTAAGTAACATTTTTATATACTAAAACTAAAAAATGATTAATAATTTTCTTCTAAAAGCTATAATAACAATTATTGCATCTTTTCTAAGATAGGAGCATCTGATTTTCTTTTAGTTTTTATTTATTCTAAAATACTTGTGTTTAATTTGAATCTCCTATTTTTATGTATATTAGGTATTCAAGTTAAAATCGATGCAAATGGATTGTTACATATAAAATGTCACAAATATATTTTTTTTATCATAAAAATCATCTTCAAAGACATCTTTTACACCTAAAAATAAAAATAGCTTAGTATGGTGAAAATGGGTAATTGTTTTAGTATTAATTTACAATTGTTTGTAAATAGTCAGAACATAGCTAATTTAAAAAAAATAATATAGATATATAAATATATCATTAATTATAAATATGAATATATTTATCTNAAAGAAATAATAGTTAATTTGAAAATGAACTTATAAATTATAGCCTTTATGATATAAAAAAGAAACAACATATATATATAATTTTAATTATGAATAACTACTTTGATATAATAAAACAATTATAATAGGCTATTGAATTATGCACAAGAGAAAATGTAGAATTAAGAGAATAGATAATAATGATGGAGACGCAATAAGACCCTTAAAAAAATCTAAAAATTAGTAATTTGCAAAAGATGATCATATAGTAATAACAATAAATATCTGAATTAAAATAATCAATGTAAAAACGCAATCAATTGAAGAAAGATAACTATTGTAATGAGGACGATAAATTTATAATTGAATAAATGAAAAAGAAATTTGAAGAAAAAAGCAATGAACTAAAAAGATATTAAGAACTGTATGAAAAATCTCGATAAAATTTAAAGAAAACTCAATAGCAAGTACTAGAATTAAAAGAATAAATCAATTAATAATGTTAATTAAATGCATAAGAATAATAAAAAGTAACAAAGATGGAATTATTAATAAAAAATGCCAGATAATAAGAATTTGTATCATTATAATATATATTAGAAATAGAGAGATTAAACTCATAAATATAATAATTAGAATAAGAATAAAAAAGCTTATCTAGAATAAGTCATTGAAATGATTATTATTGTATAAAATTATTCATTAAATAAACTTCGCTACAAATAACAAATAGAGAATTATAATTCGTTATTTTCATTTAATTAGTTAATTTATTTATTTTTAATAAATTAAAACATGATTACTCTAATATGGTTAGTGCATTTTGATAAAAGGTGGCTATGTTTTAATTGTCCAATAATTTAATCAATGTGGTATTCTAAAATTACACTGTAGGTTATTTGGAACTATATATTGCTTTTTATTAGCTGCAATTGATTTGTACTCGATATATTTTCATTAGTTATGCCCATATGCATTTAAGCATTTGCTAATAAATATATTTATCCTATTAATTTTAGCAGGGTTTTCTTACATAATTTATGCTAAAACTTTATTTAAATAAGTAATAAAAAACGCATTATAATTATTTTAGGAAAAAATGCAAAAATATCAAAATCGATAAGACATTGCAATTAGATTAAATCACTGGACGATTAGAAAAGTTTTACTTTCTAAGATTGGATTTGCTGTATTTGTTATAGGATTTATTTAAAATATATGGGCTTTAGAAACATTTCTACATTTGTAGGAGTGTAAAAATTGTGAGGGTATGTAACCAAATATTCTAAAATTAAATTTATTGTTAACTATCATAGCATCCATACCAATAGCATTTATGATAATCTGTTATGTTTTGATAAAATCTGTTGCTTTAATCACTAGCTCTTTATTTCCACATACATACATAAAAATAAAAAAAATATTTTGTAATTGATATTCATATTTACCTAATATTTATGAAAAAAATTTAAGTAACATTTTTATATACTAAAACTAAAAAATGATTAATAATTTTCTTCTAAAAGCTATAATAACAATTATTGCATCTTTTCTAAGATAGGAGCATCTGATTTTCTTTTAGTTTTTATTTATTCTAAAATACTTGTGTTTAATTTGAATCTCCTATTTTTATGTATATTAGGTATTCAAGTTAAAATCGATGCAAATGGATTGTTACATATAAAATGTCACAAATATATTTTTTTTATCATAAAAATCATCTTCAAAGACATCTTTTACACCTAAAAATAAAAATAGCTTAGTATGGTGAAAATGGGTAATTGTTTTAGTATTAATTTACAATTGTTTGTAAATAGTCAGAACATAGCTAATTTAAAAAAAATAATATAGATATATAAATATATCATTAATTATAAATATGAATATATTTATCTACTAATTTAAACAATAACACACCAAAAAAAATAAAATAACTTATTTAGTTTATATCATTAGAAATTTTTTGTATATAAGGATGATCATGAGTTAGATGTATAAAGGAATTTTGTATACTTTTATTATTTTTCCAACAACAAATATGTACAAAAACCAAATTTATACTCATTCTATAATAGGGTTTTAATTATTACTTGATAAAATTATTACTCTAAATATAGCATGATTTATGTTTATAGTAAAATAAAATAATGTTATAGACATATATGATTGTTATAAAAGTAAACTACAATAATGTATATTTCTTCATTAAATGTATATTTAACTTATATATTATTGAAATTTATAATTTTATCAAAGTAAAATACAATAATGTTTATTTCTTAATTAAAATTA